ACAACCCTTGGTGTCGCGCCCAACCAGTGAGCGGACCGGTCTCTATATGGGATCTGAACCCTCGGCGGGAGCGCCGCCACACTCCGAAGCGCCGCACTCTACCGAGTGCGCCACCGGGCCGGCCCTGAGTTGCATTTTCTGATAGCTAATCATCTTTGTATGTGCTTATTGGCCATTTGTGTATTTTCTTTGGAGAAATGTCTGTCAAGATCCTTTGCCCTTATTTGAGTTGGGTTATCTCTTTATTAGTGAGTTTTAAGAGTTTTTTGTATATTCTATATACAAGTCTCTTGTCAGATATGTGATTTGCAAACATTTTCTCCCATTCTATGGGTTTTCTTTTCACTTTTCTAATGGTATTGAGTATTCCCTCTTTTGGAAACATCTTGGAGTCCTACAAGTCAACTATATACTGTCAAGAATAGTCCAAAACTATTTGTTTGCTCCTTTTTAGCTGGAATTGGTGATGAATGTTTTTCCTTTGGCAGGCAACATAAGAGGGATTTGATCCCAGTTGTGTTATCTGCCTGTTCAACTTTGACCACTAGGTGTCACTTGGTTATTGTCTCTGTATAAGCCCTTGGGGCTTTTCTTCCCACTTTATATCCAGTACAACACAGTGGGGATCCCTGAAAACTAATCTGTCTTTAAGATTCAAAGGACTTTATACCAAAAAAGAATTCAGGACATAGCAGATCCTGTTCTTCACTGTTCAAGACATTTCAGTGGCTTTCCTTCACATGTAAGCCATATTAAGGATTTCTTTATTTTTCTTTAAATTCTATAAAGCCAGATCTGATCTGGCCTCTGGCTACTTCTCTGACCTCATCTCCTACTTCTCCGCCTCACTTACTCAGCTGTAGCTCCCACTCACTGGCCTCCTTATTTTTTATCTAACATACCAAGTTAAGCTCTTACCTTAGCACCTTTGTACTTGCTGTTTCTTTGCCCTGGGTATCTTTGCTCATATATTCTTAAAATTTGCTTCCTCTTTTTATTCGGGTCTGTGCACCTTCTTCAAGAGGCTTTCCCCTGTTACTGTCACATCAGCAGCCTCCATCACTCTCTGCCTTCCTCTGCTTTTTTTCATAGCAGTCATCTCTGTAGTCATTTCTATTACATACCTACTTGTTTATTATCTATGGCACCATAAGATTCATGAGGGCCTGGACTTTATTTTGTTCTCTCCTGCATCACTAGTCACCGTCTGGAGATACACAGAAAGCATTGTTATACTCTAATGATTTTAGTTAACAAGAACTCCTTTGTAAGTGCCAATTTGTATTCTCTCAAGATATACAAATCTGTACAAATGTAATCTTATCCAAAAAATAGTTGCTGCTCTTCACTCATTTTGAGGGATCCCTATATGGACTTTTCACTTTCTTATATTTCTGCCTCTTGGCCTTTATTTTTCAGTTTGCTGAGCATTAACAGTATTCAGATGCTTATACTTCACTGAAAAGTGAGTTAATAATCTTGCTCTCTAAAGGCAAGCTCACTACACCATATCTTCTATAGATGGGCTGTAAGGAGGAAGTGCTAGTGACATCAAGGCAGAAAAAAGGCAAGACTTGATTGAAGACTAGATCTACTATTCAATCTTGACATCCTAGCTTTCAGACATTTATTTACTTAATTCCTTCCTTCAGTCACAAAATTGAATACAGTACCGTAGGCATCGGTTATAGTCTTCTTGCTTAGACACCACAAAAAACATTGAAGAGAGTCCTGATTTCATGTATTCTGTCCTGTTTCTATCACCTGTCAAAATATCATAGATATTCTCAAAATTCTAATACCCAAATTATGTCTTCTCCAATTACTCTTTTTTGGGGGGGGCGAGCAGCTGGCTGGTACGGGGATCTGCACCCTTGATCTTGGTATTATAATACTGTGCTCTAACCAACTAAGCTAACTGGCCAGCCCTTCAATTACTTCTTACACCCAGAAATAGCACAAACATTTTGTTGTGAAACCATGTAATCTGATTTTTATTCAGAAAGTGTGATTTTATATATAGCATACAATCTATACTATTAGCATATAAGATGTACAAAAACAGGAAATGTCTCTGCAACTCTCGTACTATCTAATTCAGTGTCCTGCTCATAATAGGTACTTAGTACATCTTAAATCTTTTTTTTTTGGCAGCTGGCCAGTAGGTACTCAGTACAGTTGGCAGTTCTGCATCTGTGGGTTCAACCAACCATGAATTTTTCGTGAAAGTATTGGGGAAAAAAATGGATGGCTGCATCTGTACTGAAGGTGTAACAGACTTTTTTTCTTGTCATTATTTCCTAAACAATACAGTATAGCAACTATTTACATTTAATTAGGCATTATAAGTAACCTAGAGATGATTTAAAGTATACAGGAG